ATTTGCAGTATATTCCATCATGCTTCCCTGTTCGAATGGAGTGGTTTATTCCAACATTTAAAAACGGGTAAAATTCAGGTGGCCTGGATTTGACCAGGCCTTCTTCCCAAGACCAAGTGCCGGCATGTCGTGGAATGCGGCAGGCTGAGAAAAGCAAACTGCAGGCTTGATTGATGGTGCCATAAAGTGGGGGCGGTGGATCCACTGCCTTGCAGGAGGCTGATGTTTGCCGTTGGATGAGCCCTTTGTCAGTGCAAGGATGCCACAGCTAGAAAGACAAAGAGGGAAGCACCCCCTCCTGGAGCTTTTCCATGAGAATCGGCATTCATTTAAACCAAACGCCCACGCATAGGCTGTTCGGTCGAACTTTGTGCTAGTTCAGTTTTGTGTGTATTCACAATGAGTTGACACATTTTGTCCCTATGTGTTATTGTTAGTTGCGAATCATGTCCGACCCCTTGCGACCCCAAAGAAAACATTCCTCCAGGCCTTCCTGTCCTCCACCAACTGCCAGAGTCCACTTAAGCTCAAACCAACTCTCTCAGTGACTCCATCCAATCACCTCATGCTGTGCCGTCTCCTTCTTCTTCTGCCATCCATTGATCCCAGCATCAGGCTCATCTCCAGTGAGTCATTTCTTCTCATTAGGTGGCCAAATTATTTGAGTTTCATCTTCAGTATCTGTCGTGCATGAAGCCCCGACAGAGTCAGTGACTCACGAGGAGGACTTGCACTTAGCACCCAGTGTCCAAGAGGCAACCCCACCACCCAGCGTAGGGGCAAATGGGCCAGCTGCTGCGCCTCCCTCTGACTCCCAGCACATTGAGCAAACGCCTGAACTGTCATCGAAGCCAGAGAGTCTTGAGAGAGAGGAAGCTGCAAGCTTCTCCTTCCCCCTCTGATGCTGATCTTCCTGAGCCAGAAACAGAAGACACAGTGGGCGTGGTGGATATCTCAAAAGCCGAAAATCGAAAATCGACGCATTCTTTGCTGATATAAACAGCAAAAGAATTGATTATGTAAGAGAGAAGAAAGGCGTGACTTGGGAGAGTAATCCCACACAGGCTCCGGGAGGGAAGTCATTAGAGGGTTAACATCTGCATATCAAGGACTGCTATTGGAGAGCTTATCTATAGAGTTGTAAATCTTGTAGATAATTAGCATTAAAGGACTTTAGTTTTATTGCTCATGAATGTGTGAATTGTTTACATACTGGGCTGCCGCCCATGACAGTATCTGACCCTCTAAAGAGCAGTCAGTGCTGATCTCCTCTAGGACTGACTGGTTTGATCTCCGTGCAGTCCAAGGGACTCGCAGAAATCTTCTCCAGCACCACAATTCAAAGCCCCCAATTCTTTGGTGATC